AAACCACCCTTAAACCTTTAATCACCAGCTAATAACCCTAAAATCAATCTTTTTTATTTAATTAATCATAACATTAATTAATCTTTTTTTTAAATAAGCTAACAACTTTTAATCATACTAATCTCTCTTTAGTAATAAACCATTAAAAATATAATTTATTTGCATTTTATTAAATCTATTTAATACTTTAATAGTAACACCTTTTATTAAAATTCTAGTTAATTTATTTTTTAAAAAAAAACTTATTTGATAATTTAAAATTTATATAACCTTTTTTCGTTTTTTTCTCATAAAAATAAATAACATTTCTTGAACGATCTCACCAAAAAACATTTTCTTGAAAATCGACTCATATAGTCTAGCTCAACTTTTTTTTCTCTTAAAAACAAGATAACACAACTTTTTTTTCTTAAAATCAATTCACCCCTTTTAAAATAATAATTTCACTTAAAATCGATCCAACCTTTCTCGAATCCATGTTACCTTAAGATTAAAACTAATCTTTTTCTTCACTAAAATCAACATTTTATTCAACTCAAATCAACCAATCAAAATCAACCAACATCGAAAATACAACTTAATCGTGCACCCCACGACACATTCACTCACCTACACCTTAGCGCTTTCATGCGTGTGTATGGTTTTACTTATTCGTTCTTTTATTTCTGCAATTTACCTTACAGTAATTTACATTATCATCATACTCATTTTTCTGCATCGCATCCGTCCAAAGGAAGAATCTGCGCATGATCTCAACAATCGTGCGTATGCATCATTTGCATCATTTCCCCATGATCCTTGATCCCGTTCAAGTTGATCACTTAAGATAGATCCTACCCCATAGGAAGGACCTTGTCTCTTATCTTTACAACTTAGACAAAACACAACAAACAACACAATACAAATTTATTCAAACACATTAGAGAAAGATGTTAATCATCTTAAGCGAGATAAAATCTCCACCCCACATCATTACAATCAATTCGTAGGAACTTTGCCTTAAGAGAGACAGAGGCGTACCTCATCGATCCCTATCCGAGTACTTGAGCCCTTCTCTTAAGATGATGCAAAAAAACTATTTTTATACAACTCGTGGCTGTTAAATCTCTCTTAAAATGATAACGCATCTCTTCTCCTAAAATCAATCAATCAACTACCCTAAACCCGTAGGAACTTTGACCATAGTCAAAGAACTCCTCAAACCCTTTAGGGGAACTACAGTTACTCTGATTCCACTCCCGTAAGGATATGTAGGCATAAGATGCGACATCTTATCGAGTATACTTAGAAATAAACCCCCTAGGTCTTCAACCTTAAGCAGATAAACACTTAGCAATAAACAAACATAAAACAAGAGGTTCCGGTAGAGTACTACAGAAACTTAGGATGCTAGTACCTTCCCTAAGTTTAACCAACCCCCGAACCTAAAACTCTCTAAACCTTGCATTTGCATTGCATTGTGGAAATTTCGATCTTTATCTCTTCCTTTGGACAAATCAAAGTTCGGTTGCAAAAAATGAATTAAAGATTCAAACTAATCAATAGTTTGGTATTCGATTTTCACCGCGACAGTTAGTGTGTTATTTTTTCTTATAAATAGCATGTTAGTCTCTCATCTTGTATAAGAAAAAAATAGGAAGATAAAATCTTAATTCAAGAGAGAAAGGTTATTTGTTATTCTTGTATACTTGTAATCTTGTTTGATAAATAAAGGAAAGAATATCAGTTTATAACCAATCCTTGTTGTTTCTTCTTGTTCTTCTTGCGTGTTTTCTTTGTTAACCCTAACTCTTGTGCGTTTCTTGAATATAAAGAAACTGTTTATATTTTGTTTCAAGGCATTCTATTCACAACAATCTTTTACTCTATGATTAAGAAATTAAATCATTTTTCTAATGACTGTTAACAAACAAAATAATTGTTAGATCTTGTGTTTGGGGTCTGCTACAAAACATGAACAAGAAGATGAAAACGGTACAATAAAAGTTGCACAAAATAAATTTCAAAGCGTATGTTTACACTAAGCATTAGGTTCGATTCACACCCACCAATTTAGACACATTGGATGCAAATGGGTTAACCGGCGAATCCCCTTTAGGATACTTTGGAAATTTTAACATAAATCGCATATTCACATTAAGCATATCGATCAACGATATTATACAGAATAAAGTTCTATTATTTATTCTTTTGCAATAGAAAATAAAAGAATGACTTAGATATAACTTTTGGCACTTGAAACAAGTAATTTTTGTGTGTATTTTATGCCTAAAAAGTATCTCTATTTATAGAAAAACTTGTACAAATTGGTGAGGAAAAACAATGTTTCAATGGTTTAAACATGACTATTCGCGAACCATTATATCTATAACAATATATAAAGGCAAAACACAATTTTCAATCCCTCTTAGGGTTTGGTTTTATTATATGGACTATTGGAAATAATAAAATTTATGAAATTATGCTTAAGGGGTACCTATTAGTCTTTGGGATTAGAGATTAGGACAATTTGTCCTATTAAAATAATGTCATTTAAAATAAATATGATTAAGAGTTTTATGCACTCACTAGAATTATAGATATTTAATATTAAAAAAAAGAATATATTTATTATGGGTTAATATTAAGATTGAAGAGTTTATAATATTATTATTAGTTAAATGCGATTAGATTAATATTAATATTATTTTTAATAATATATTAATATTGAGTTATATTATTATTAATTAGGGAATAAATTAATATTAAGATTAATTAGGATTAAATTATTTTTTTAATCAAATTATTATTATAGGGATGAAAGGATTAATTGGGCTTTTTAGATTAATTATTTAATTAGTGTCATATTTAGGCCTATTATAATATCAATATTATTATTAGTAATTAATATTAATATTAATAGTATTATTAATATTAAGTGATTATTAGGATTTTTATTGTAGAGTTTTATAGTATTAGGATTATGTGGGATTAGTTCACTATTACTTAGGTTTTAATATTATTAATATTGTAATTTATTATTATTATTTATTATGTTCGGTCGTGTTTTTTATTTTTGAATATTATCTAGTCCAAGTGATGGCCAAATTGAAGTGGTTCAAGCCCACAATCCAACATGGTCAAGTGAAACACGTTTTCATTATCTCAATTGGGTCAAACACATGACCTGAGTTCATCTCCAAAAATTCTCCATCCCTAATTTAGAGAACCCTGAAATATGGAAATTTTACTCCATACCCCTACAATTTTAAAAAAAATACCAATTTTATCCCTGTATGTTTTTTATTATTTTATTTTTTTTACCTTTTACTGTCCTGTCAGATTTTCAGAGTCCCGGAAAATTCACCCATCGAGTCTTCCAGAACACTTTTAAAATGACTTCTGGTATGTTATTTTTTCCAAACCAGAATACTTTGGCAAAGAGTTACGGTTTATACAAAATATATACCGGAAGAGTTTATCAAAGAATTCTGGTTTGCGTTTTACGTAGAATTATTACCGAAACACTTGTCTTCAGAGTTCCGGTACTTGTAAAAAGTGTACCGGAACACTTTTTACAAGTCTTCCGGTTTTGTAACTTTGGCTACCGGAACTCTTTTCCTGAGTCTTCCGGTTTGCTTTTGTAATTTTTTTTATGCAGGTACAGAAATTCCTTTACAAATATGTGATAAAGATCAGATATGTGTAGATACGTCTGATATTTTTTCAACTACTCAAAGATTTGGTACACAAGAAGAGGTGATAAGATGGATTAAAGAGATCGGAATCTGAAATAAAGTAACGATTATCATCACTCGTTCAGATATTGAAACAGGCAAGAGAGTAAGAAGTAACAAATTAATATTTGGATGTGATAAAGGTGGAAAACACAAAGATATTGATAGTGGAACCCAGAGTGCGACGAAAAAATAGGGATGTCCATTTAGAATCAGATCAATTTCAGCGACTGATGGATCTGGATGGAAGATTGATGTAAAATGTGGAGTTCATAACCATGATTTACCTGATAGATTAGAAGGTCACGCATTTGTTGGTAGGTTGACAGCAGATCAGAAGCAATGTGTTGTTGATTTGACAAAGAGAAAGGTTCCACCTAGACATATATTGCTTTCATTGCAAGAGCAAGATCCAGATAATGTCACTCGGATCACGCAAATATACAAGCAGAAAAGTATGATAGAAAAAAATATAAGAGGTCCTAGAAGTGAGATACAACATTTGTTTAAGCTTATTGAGGATGCAGGTTATATTTATTGGAGTAGAAAATGAGATGACTCTGAAGTTATTAGAGATATATTTTGGGCTCATCCAGATTCAGTTAAGTTGTTGAATATTTTTCCTATTGTGTTAGTTATGGACAACACTTACAAGACAAACAAATATAGGCAACCTCTGTTTGATATTGTTGGCATGACATCAACCGAGTTGACTTTTGCTGTCGCATTTGCGTATATTGAGTCTGAGCAGACTGAGACTTTTTGTTGGGTGCTAGATAAGTTTAAACAATTGTTTGTGAAGAAAGATTTGTGTCCAGAAGTGATTTTGACAGATAGAGATCTTGGTTTGATGAAATCCATTGAAATTGTATTTTCAAGGTCGATCAATTTGCTATGTCTATTTCATATTAACAAGAATGTTGGTGCAAAACAGAAACAATATGTGGCTAGTGACATGCAAAAGAAAATTGACGAATTATGGACGGATGTTGTATGGGCTAGTGATGAGGTTGAGTATGATCAAAGATTGAACCAACTTGAGCAGGTGTGTGTTGATTGTAATGAATTTATTGATTATGTGAAGGACATATGGTTGAAACCACATAGACAAAGATTTGCTAGAGCATGGATTAATCGAGTGCTACATTTGGGTAACACCACGACTAATCGCTATGTATTTATTTTTAGTATTTCTAAATTGTATATCTTTTTCGTAATTTTTTAAAAATATTTTTAATATGTATTAATTTTAGGGTTGAGTCTGCTCATTGGAAGTTAAAGCAAATGTTGGGGAACAATATTGGTGACATGGTCAAATGTTGGGAGGCTATGAATGACAACTTAAAGTTACAACTGAGAAATATTAGAGCTTCTTTTCAAAAGAGTTTTTATGAAGTTGAGCACGCCCACGTCAGTCCATTTTACAATAATTTACGTGGTTCAGTGTCTCGAGATGCATTGAGACGCATTGCTGAAGAGTTAAAACGAGTTGATTAAGTTGGAACTAACAAGGAAATATGTCGTTGTACTCTTAGAACAACCTACGAATTACCTTGTGCTTGTGAGTTGACAGGATATAGAATTGATGGTATACCGATACCAATAGATGATGTGCATGTTCATTGGAGAAAACTAAGTATGGAAGTTAAGTTAGACGAAGACGTAGATGATGGATCAGAGGTGGATATGAGTAGTGCAATAGATGAGTTATGGAAAAGGTTTAAGTCACTAGATGTTGTTGGGAAAATGGCATTAAAAAGTAGGGTTTTTGAACTTGCCTTCCCTACAATGACTTCTATGTGTCTACCACCTGAGAAAATAAAAACTAAAGGGGGAGTCAAGAAGAAAGGCAAAAAACCAGTAGGGTATGATGTTTATAGATACCCTTCGTATCATGAGTATGTTAATCAAGCATCTCAATATTCACAAAGGAAATCTCAACCATCACAGACTTTGAAGAATTTGAAATTATCACAGTATTCACAAAAGAAATCTCAACCATCACAGGCTTCGAAGAAGTTGAAATTATCACAATCTTCCCAGTTATCTAAGCAGTTCATTCTTCAGTTTCCTAATCACATCAGGTCATATATTGATGATGTAGTTAATGTTGTATCAGATGGTAACTGTGGATTTAGAGTCATTGCTTCATTGCATGGATATGGTGAAGATGGTTGGCCAATGGTTCATCGAGACTTGGGGTTGGAAATAATACATAACGAACGATCAAGTTTGTATGCCAATTTATTTACTGATCAGTTACCAGTAGTGAAAGAATCTTTGATGATAGAGGAATTTGGTCCTCAACCACCACATAAATGGTTAACTCTACCAGATATGGGTTACGTGATAGTGAATCGTTATAATGATGTACTTGTCTGTTTAGGATTTTAATGCTGGACTTTCTTCCTGTCGCGCTGAAATTTTGATACCAAGCTATTGACGAGCTTGAATCTTAATTCATTTGAAACCGAACTTTAATTTGTCCAAAGGAAGGGAAAAAGATCGAATTACCCACAATGCAATGCAAATGCAAAGGTTAGAGAGTTATAGGTTCGGGGGTTGGTTAAACTTAGGGAAGGTACTAGCATCCTAAGTTTCTGTAGTACTCTACAGGAACCTCTTGTTTTAATGTGTTTATTGCTAAGGGTTATCTGCTTAAGGATGAAAGACCTAGGGGTTTATTTTTAAGTATACTCGACAAGATATCGCATATTGTGCCTACATATCCTGACGGGAGTGGAATCAGAGTATCTGTAGTTCCCCTAAAGGGTTTTGAGGAAGTCTTTGACTGTGGTCAAAGTTCCTACGGGATTAGGGTAGTTGATTGATTGATTTTAGGAGAAAAGAAGAGTTGTCATTTTAAGGGAGATTACTTAATTTAACCGCCACAACTTCGTAGGAGAATCTTCTTAAGAGAAGGGCTCGAGTACTCGGATTGTCAACAAGTACGCCTCTATCTCTCTTAAGCAGAAAAGTCCCTACATATTGATTGAATTGTTATGGGGTAGAAGTTTTATCTCGCTTAAGATGATTTACATCTTATTCTCTAATGGTTTGGTTGAGTTGTTTTGTTTTTCTAAGTTGTAAATATAAAAGACAAAGGTCCTTCTTAAGGGTAGGATCTGAACTTAAGAGATTGACTTGAATGGGATCAAGGATCAACGGGGAATATGATGCAAATGAGATGCATACGCGCAAGTTTTACATTACGCGCAAGTTCTTCCTTTGGACATTATGCAATGCGATAAGATAAATTGCGGGAAGGTAAAAGACGATAAATATAAACGGCGGATAAAGTAAAGGCATACACAAACGCATGAAAGCGCTAAGATATACAAGTGTGTGTATCGTGAATATGTGAAGCGGATCAGAGCGGAAACGGAAGCCTGTACGATTGATTTTAGGCGAGTTGATTTTAGAGGAAGGTTGAATTGATTTTTAGGAAGATATTGATTTTAGGAAAAGTTAATTATATTATTAGTTAATAAAAAGCTTCTTAGGTGGATTAAATTTTAAGGAGGAATTTTAATTAAAAGGATCCTGAAAAGGTTTATTTTTATCTTAAAAGAGTGGAATGGTTAAATTTTTTATAAAAGTTATTTATTAGATTAATTAGGAAAATAAATTTTAATATTTTAAGAAGTTTGTTGTAAAATAGATTACTAGTCAAATTAACAAAAATTATTTGTCTTTAGTACAAATTATTTGAATTAAATTAAAAGGGTTTTATTGTTATAAAAGATTTAGTTATTATTATGAGATAAATAAAAAGTTAAGTTAAAAAACTTATTACCATAATGGGTTTGGTTTAATATTATTAAAAGATTTTTATTAAATAAAAGTTGATTATTACAAAGGAGGAAAGTTAATTAAAAAGGGTTTTTTTATTATTAAGTAAGTTAATTGATTAGAAAAAAAGTTGATTAAGTCATTAACTGGGTTATTATAATGATTATTAAGCTAATTAAGCAGATTGTAAAATTAAATGGAGGGCGAGTGATCCAGTATGGTGCAGGGAGATCGGTTCACGGTGGTCAAGCGTTATATTGGCCGTGTGATGGAATCCGTTGGAGATCTAGGGGTTGTATGCGTGAGGTGCACGGTAAGGTGCGTGTGTGTGCAAGCAGGTGATTACAACAATACAAACCAAATCAAAAGAAACCTAATCTACCCAATTCCCCCTCTGTCCGCCGCTACTCCCTTCCTTCCATCTCAGTTCTCCTTCTCACTTTCCATCATCTTCTTTCTTTCCTTCTATCTTGTTCATTCCCTCTTCCTCTTATATATTCTGGAAAAAAAAACAGAGAGAGAATCAAACACACAAAGAAAGATTAATAATGTTAGAAAGCGAGCTTATAATTTGCATGCTCTTCGCAGGTCCTCTGGATGGCGACGAAGATTTTCCGGTGGATGGTTGAGGGTTTGAATAGCGATGACGGTGGTTGATGGCGTCTATGAAAATGGAGAGGGATTGAAAGATTCAACGGCGCGGTTGAGTTTCTGAAGCGATTGAGGCTTATTGCGATGGCTGTGGATTTGCGGCGGTGGTTTCTCGCGGCGGAGTTGCTGAAGTTCGCGATGAAGTTGTTCTGGGGTTTCGCAGCGGGATTCTGAAAGGATAAGTTTCTTTCCTCTTTTTATGATTTGCGATTTCTAGGGTTTACGATTTTGGGATTTTTGGGGTGTTCTGCGAATTTGTATTGGTTTCTGAGAATGGCTATGTGTTGTCCTGATTCTCGAACTCTTCTTCTTTTATAGGCTCTTTTGAGCCAAAAGATGTTAGCTGATAATGAATTTCCTTCCTCTTTTGGTTTAGCTCTGTCTGAAGCACGTTTCGTCAATATAGGAAAGGAATTGATGTCGTCTTGATTGTCATGGACAAGGCTTCAGTTTGAACCCTTAATATGGCAATAAATCATTTTCGATCAAATCCTTTTGAAATCTCTTGTACTAACTAATCCTCTTTTTGACAGCCTTAAATCAAAGCTTCACTAGTGCAACGGGAAAGGAGGATACGCGAGACATATGCATTGCCTATCTCCGGATTTGCGAACTCTGAATTTGCGGGTGATTCCTTTAAAATCTGTCTTGCACTTGGCTTCGGTTCTCTTCTTCAATTCATCATGAATGTTGTTGTGTGTTGCTCTAAGTTTGACTGATGCTTTGATCCCTCATTATGAATGCATGTTGTGTAGATATGTTCAAAATGTGTTGGTGGAAATTGAAGATACTGACAAGTATCAAGGGTGTTTGCTTCATGTGTGCTGCTGGTTTTCGGTTTTTGTGAAGTTAGGTGAATCGAGTGGTTTTAGCAAGATTGTGCAGGCAACTCTGTGAATGACACGCAAACTGTGTGACTTGGGTGAAGTTGGTTTGCAGTATTTGAATCTTCATGGCTCTGTTTGGTTTCTCTTTGACAACTTCTTGGATTGCTTGTTCTGAACTAAACTGGCTTTTCTTCTTCTCTTTCTAGGGACAATCTTAAGTTTGGAAGTTGTCGGTTGTATGTCGTTGCTGGGAAAGGTTTGTTGCGGTTATGATGACGACGCATCTGAACCAAGAGCTTGAAATTGCAGTTGTGTTGCCTTCGATTTGTTGGTTGCCTATGACGTTCTTGTCCAAAACTATTTCGATGCTTGGTAGGAAGCTGGTGACGGGTTCCGTTGCCCTTCCGGCTGCTCAAACCTCCGCCCGATGATGAGTTTAAAACTGAGGGCTGAACTTAAACCTATTCTTAGTTCTTAACCTGCAGATTAATTATGTTAAGTCTGTTCTGATTATTGGTTGCGTTTTGCAGGTGAAGATATTGCAGGAGCATTTGAAGATACGGGATAAAGAGAAAACCAACGCAACCGAGCCCACAAGTAGCAGGATCAGCTTATCTGTCGAGTACCGCAAAGAGTGTAAATGTTGGGCGAAGTCAAGAAAAAGTTCTGACGACGGCAATGAAGTTCAAAACGTGTCCTCCCTGTTCCTTTGGTTTTTTTACGCAGTGTGAATGTGCTTTTACAGCAACACTAATCATGTTGTATCTTCGGTGCATGTGTAAATGAATTAGCGGCATTGACCATTAATAGACTTTATTTCCTTTACCACTAGTAGAGATATTTTCTTGAATATACTCATAGCCACTTAGATACCTGTTACTATGGATAGAAAATTCAACTTGTAATTCTTGAGGAATGGAACTTCAAATTGTATGCCCTTTCGAACCATGAATTGTCTAAGTTATGTAATTTTGCTCATTTGAAGTAAATGAATAAAACTTGTTTTCACAAAAAAAATTAGGAACTCCATATTGTGGCCTCAAAAGTGACCTTAGATTGGCATATAATCCATGAAAGTCTTCTAAACTTTATCTTTCAAAAAGTGGATATAAGATGTATTTAGCATGCTGTCGTGACGACATTTCTTGTGTTTTTTAAATTTCGGATTTTCAAAGATATATCTCAAATATTCCAAAATGACCTCATCCTGAACAGTGTCCTTAGACTCTCAACCTCCTTTGACGTTGTACTTGTAGAACCGGACCTTAGAGACGGGCTCCTTTATGACTTATAAATCGAATAAAATTGAAATCAAATTATGATACCAATTAAATGAGAACACTTCTTGAAGGTATCCTAACATCATGGTCTTAAAATAAACTTGAAATACACCTTTCACCCAAAAAAAGATTTTAATGCAATCCCTCAGCCAAACTCGACATTCTTGAATCCGCCTCATCTTGCACTGAAAGGCTACGTAAAACCTGTCAGAGATGTCTTAAAAGCCAAAATAATCCTGCACGCATTCGTTAGTTCTGATAAATACGTACATAGGAGTAAAAGATAAAACATAATAAAACGCACAAGGGGGTGGGATCTTAAGGTCAAAAATTAGGGTGCGACACTTCCCTATGACAACTTCATTTTTACCAAATGTAGTATTTTACTGCATTGGTTTTGTAAACATAAATCATTGGGTTCAGGTACTTAGTTATTTTTAGATAATGTGATTAAACCTAATTCTTTTTCGTTATTTTTACTTAATATTTTGATTATTTTTTTATTTAGGTAAACATGAAAGAAGGGTTTCCATTGCCACCAGTGACAATAGATTGGAAGAAGTTTCGTTCTCCAGTAGCAATATCTTGGATGCTAGGATTTGAAGGACGTCTACAACATTGGCAACAACTTACGCCTATATTACAAACGATTATGAATTATAAATTATGTTACTTATTTTTAATTTCAAAACATGAATCATGAATTATGTTATTCATTTTTAATTTCAAAACATGAATCATGAATTATGTTATTCATTTTTAATTTCACGCTACAAGTTAACACATAAACATAAACCAACTAGGTCAAATGAGTCTAAAAGTTAACATATAACCATAAATATAA